AAGTATCTTATGTAGTTAAAAAGAAGAAAACAACTGCCACCTTTAAAAAAAAATAGATGCTTCAAAGCACAATATTTATTTATTCATTTATTTAGCATTCACATAAAACAGATTATGATTAATGTTCACAAATAAGAAAGGATTCTGAACTTCAATGTTATTAGCCTTTGGATAAAAATAATCACCAAGCGACTTTTTAACAATATAACTCTTTACCATTAACTGTTTAATTCCCAGCTATCTCAGTTAGAGAGCAGCACTGTATTACAAGATTCAAGACTGGGGCTTTTAACTATTATTGGGCACATAACCAATGCTTCTGAGAACTAAAGTAAGAGCTTCTAATAATGGTTTATATAGCCATGCTGATTTCTGCTTAAACCTTACAAGAGGTAAGAATGCAGAAGGTGGGAAGAGGCAACCAAAGATACACAATGACCCATTTATTATGTAACTGAAAAAGTCTGCACTGTGGACATAGTAGAGATGATTGGAAGCAATTCTTCATATGAAATTCAGAAACATGAATATAATTTAGGACAAGTTCCCTAGCCAGAAAAATTAGACTATTGCAGTGGAATATGAAGGAATCACTTAAAGGCTCGATGCTTAATAATTCAATTATTTACATAATTTTTCTTATTAACTGTTCCCACAATGGCACATCTGTGGAAAATCAAATAGAACTGCAATTATAATTACCTAGGCCCAGCTGAATAGACAAAATGCAAATAACTGTAAACAAATAAATATCTATGTAGATTTCACTTGCAAGAAGTAGACAGATCAGTGTGTAAATACAAGGGTTCTTGCAGCATGGAGGAAGTGATGAAGTTGACCTTTTATCTGATTCTTTCTCTTTAAACCTCAAGGTCAAAGTTCATCTAAAAACAAGCTAGTTCCTTGTAAAATAACTAACAAACAGAATGCCAAAGGTGAATAGGAAGTATAAAACAAAGAATAAGTCAGGTACAAGGCTTCAGAATCTTTTTATAACAAAATTCTACAGGTTGTCTTCTAACTGATAAACTTGATACACTGACTCCAACTAAGAGGTTTCAATGTCCAGTTGAAGGTCAGTGTTTGATAGATTTTATAACACAAAATAGGAAAATCCTGGAGGAGTCAAATCAAAGGCAGATTAGAATTCCTATTTTTTTTCTACACTGAATACAGGAGCAGGATTTTTCAACTACTGCATGGCAATGTCAAATTCTTTCTGTAAAATCTGATTTCTCAATGCCTGCCCTTCCTTTTTGATTAGATGCTCTATCAAGCACCAAGTCACACTTTCTCTTTGATGGTTTACAACAAGGGTCTTCAAACTTGGCAAGTTTAAGACTTGTGGACTTCAACCCCCAGAATTCATGAGCTAACATGACTGGAGGAGGAATTCTGGGAGTTGAAGTCCACAAGTCTTAAAGCTGTCAAGTTTGAAGACCCCTGGTTTACAATATTATTATCAATTTGTTTCCAAACTGCCCAACCAGGTATGCTAAAACTTGTATGAATCAGGTTCAAGAGGATTCATACCTCATAAGTTAAGTGGTGCTTGACTTCATCACATTTTTGTTAGAATTGATGCAGTAACATAAATGACAAAACTATTCACTTAGTCAACCTATAGCACAAAAGACCATGGTATATATTTTAATGCAATTTAAATCAAGTGGCTTGGTTAAAATTCAGTCATTACTCAAAATACAGCTTGGTCCTACATCCAACATTATAGTGCCAGATCCAGATCTAAGGCTCTTGTAAGATGATTATCTATGTTCAGGGGAGGGGGGAGAGAAGAGGGTGGGTTGGTCAGGCTCTCAAAACTATGCTACAACTGCAAAATATAGCCATTCCTCTTTCAGTGATTTTTGTGATGAGGTTGGAAAGGAACTTCAAAATCTGAGTATGTGGTATCTTCCAATGAATATTCCAGGTAGTTTGGTAACTCAGCAACCAGGGTTAAATTCCTTCTTTCTTCACCCTAGTTTGCTGAGCGAGGAACCCAGTTGATTAAATCTATCCTAACCCTCTTGTCATTTATATACAACAAAAATTCTTGTGTCTGTAATCTTCATTTGGGCAAAATAGTGCTCATCACAGGAAATCAGTTATTGAATTAACGTATCTCAAATGGCTTAATTTACAGAATGTGTCCAAAATCAGAGATCTATCACTCATATAGGATTGAAATTTGGCAAAGTTGCAATAGTTTCAGTACCACTGTGCCTTCCAGCTACACTTCTTATAAACCTGTAGGTTGCACGATGCAACAATACATGGGACTGGTGTATCCCTGCCCTTAGCCCCTACACCCCATTGTCTGGTGGTGAGGCCTGATGGGTGAGCACTTGGCTCTTTGGAATGGTGGCCGAAATCTGAAACTTCTGAACACTGGTGGGCGGTAAGGGAAGGGTGAGACAATGATTTGGATGTCTGCTAGCAAGGTGGGTCTGGTGTTCAATGAGCGAATCCTCTTCCTCCTTGGACAGAGGGGTCCTTGGGACACACCAGAATGGGGACAGCGGATTCAGTTTTCTTCACAGTACACAGTTCCCTTTGTTCTTTTCCATCCAGCAAAGTGGCAGGCAGTTCCAAAGTGGAGGCAGATGAGTGATTTTCATACTCCCTGTCACCTTCCCTCAGATAACATCAATAGGAAAGCTGGCAGGAAAATGGAACTCCCACTCCCACTATTTTTTTGCTTGTCTGTGATCATTCGATTTCTCTGTTTAAGTAAAAGTTTCTGAAAAGATGGACATTGGGTTGCAGATTGTCTAATTTATTCTATAACTGTCTGCTTGCTAGTTTTTAGAAAGGTAATTTAAAACAAATATGCTCCAAATTAAGAATCAAATTATACAGTCCATGAAATGGAAGATAACTTAAGAAAAGTAGACATTTCTACATTTGGTTAAAATCTGGCACCTAAGGCAAAGCTTTGATTTGCAAAACCAAAGCTGGCTATCACTTAACATTGCTCTAGCTTAATTCCTCTCTTCCTTGGTTATTGTTTTATGGATTTTTTAAAAAAAACTTCTTTAGGCATTTCTACCAATTTAGTATAATACTTTTCTTTGAAATAGGAAGCCAAACTGTTTCTCTGCTTCCTAATAATCTCTCCTCAAACAGTTCTATGTATCAAAGCTGATTTCATTACCTGCCACCTGCTGCTGCTGCTACTGCTGATGGTTTTATTTAAAGCACAGGCATATGGCGAAGAAAGAATTCAGCCTGACCTCCCTGAACTACTGCAGATGAATGCTGTACTGTAGTGACAGAGAGAAGCTGCTGCTGCTGCTCTTTCTTACAGCTAGGTGTCTAAACCAAATAATGGTAAGGAAACCTCCCACGTTCAGTCCTTGCCACCCTTCCTCCCAACCATTTTTAAATATTGTAAATAATTAAAGGATCTTTTAAAGGCTTCTCTAACCATGAGTTAACAGATACAGTGCATGAGGTTCTATAAAACACAGCATCACTGAAAGCAGTAGTAGGACCAGCAAATTTTGCCAGAAAAATTGAGTTGGTGAGTTAAATATCTTACCTTTTTATGAAAAAGCATGAAACCTGTAAAGTTGTGGGGGGGATCCAGAAGGTGACAATGAGAAACCATCTTCATATTACTACGAAAAACCTCTATGTGTACTTTTCCACAAAGCCACCAATAGTAAAGTTTGCTTAAGAAAAGGCCTTCCATTTTTATTCTTTCTGAACGGCAGCTCCATGAACTGAACCCATCAGGAATGAGGACCTGCCATCAGCTGCCTTCTACTTTACTCACTTCTTGTAGGACATCTCAATCATTAATTTACAGTAGAGAAAAGTGGGTCTGGACTATGACAAGTAGCTGCCTTAGTCTGAAATTCACAAAAAAAAACATTTCTTTTCTACAGATGGTATTTCAACACAGTTCCCATTTTTTTCTTCTCTCAACTCCTTTTACTTTCTTCCATTGGGCAGGGAGAAAAGAAACCAGGCCAAATTATGAAAAAAAGCCAAATAGTAATCCCAATTACTCTTATGAAAAATATTTTCATCCAGAGATGTACTTAAAATAGCTATTTAAGGTTTAGTGAATTCATTAATCACAAAAACACTACATTTACTAATATGGCTTACTTTTGTCTACCAGAATAAAGCAGCATCCCTTCTATTCAGGGGTGGGATTCTACCATTCGCACCTATTCACTAGAACCGGTTGTTAACATTCTAAGCAGTTCAGAAAACCAGTTGTTAGAAGAAATTACTGACCTAATCCTGTAAGGAAGGTAGGAAGGAAACATTCTGGTGTTGCTTACAGAAACTGCCTCTCCGTTAACCCTTATTACATTCTTGGCAGGACTAGACTTCCTGTCTCGGGAACGTCTCTGGAGCTTTTTCCCCCTTCTTTGCTGGTACTTTGCTTCTGTAGAGTGACCATTCAAAGTTACAGTGGCACTGAAAAAAGTGACCTATGACCATTTTTCACACTTACGACTGTTGCAGCATCCCCACAGTCATGAGAGGCCAGGTGAGGAGATGCATGCCTCGATGAGAGTGATGTTGAGTTGGCCACGCCCAGCCAATAACATGACCAGCAAGCCATGCCCACCAACTAAGCCATGCCCACAGAAGCGGTTGTTAAAAAATTTGAACTCCACCCGATTCTATTGCTCCAATAGTATCTACCAATAACTTGTTACATATTTTCAGATCCATTAGTTATGAGGGACACACATTTACAAAGGAGAACATTTTGATTCCATTGCCACCCTTATGCAATTCTAAATCATTCTTGAGGAAGTCTATCATATTTGTCATGCTGCTTTCCAGCATTATAATTGTCTAGCATCTGATATTCCATTTCCTGCTCATAAACTGCTATGGTGACAGTTTGATAAGTGTTTGCTTTGCTACCAAACTTCTTTTCTCTTAGCTAGATGGGGGAATAGTCCTTTCCAGACTACAGTGTATAATCAAGAATGACCTAGGTGTCACTAGAAAAGAAGTATGCAACCCACCTGTTCTTCAGAGAGTTGTGAGATGTGATTAACAGCAGCATAGGACTCTATCTTTGGATTGAAGTGGTTGATGATAGCCCTGAAAGGGAGAAGAATGTTATGCTATACATGAAAGTCATAAAGGACCAATAGAAATATTTGAATCCACTGCAGCATATTAGCAGAGAAAACTTAAAGTGAACAGTTGTACGAATATATGGCTCTAAATAGAAAAATGGGAACAAAATTGAATCATTCATCAACAAGCTTTCTTTTTATTTTATACACTGCTCAAAAAAATAAAGGGAACACAAAAATAAGACATCCTAGATCTGAATGAATGAAACATTCTTATTAAATACTTTGTTCATTACATAGTTGAATGTACTGACAACAAAATCACACAAAAATTATCAATGGAAATCAAATTTAGCAACACATGGAGGTCTGGATTTGGAGTTACACTCAAAATTAAAGTGGAAAAAAACACTATAGGCTGATCCAACTTTGGTGTAATGTCCTTAAAACAAGTCAAAATGAAGCTCAGTAGTGTGTGTGGCCTCCACGTGCCTGTATGACCTCCCTACAATGCCCGGGCATGCTCCTGATGAGGTGGCGGATGGTCTCCTGAGGGATCTCCTCCCACACCTGGACTAAAGCATCCCCCAACTCCTGGACAGTCTGTGGTGCAATGTGGTATTGGTGGATGGAGCGAGACATGATGTCCCAGATGTGCTCATTTGGATTCAGGTCTGGGGAACGGGCGGGGCAGTCCATAGCATCAATGCCTTCGTCTTGCAGGAACTGCTGACATACTCCAGCCACATGAGGTCTGGCATTGTCGTGCATTAGGAGGAACCCAGGGCCAACCGCACCAGCATATGGTCTCACAAGGGGTCTAAGGATCTCATCTCAGTACCTAATGGCAGTCAGGCTACCTCTGGCGAGCACATGGAAATGCCACCCCACACCATTACTGACCCACTGCCAAAACGGTCATGCTGGAGGATGTTGCAGGTAGCAGAACGTTCTTCACGGCATCTCCAGACCTTGTCACATCTGTCACGTGCTCAATGTGAACCTGCTTTAATCTGTGAAGAGCATAGGGCACCAGTGGCGAATTTGCCAATCTTGGTATTCTCTGGCAAATGCCAAACGTCCTGTACGGTGTTGGGCTGTAAGCACAACCCCACCTGTAGACGTCGGGCCCTCATATCACCCTCATGGAGTCTGTTTCTGACCGTTTGAGCAGCCACATGCACATTTGTGGCCCCCTGGACTGTGGGAAAGACTTTGGGAAAGTGGGCAAAGAGACACTGGCAAGGGAGCAGTCAAAGAAGAGACAGCACAGTGCACAACTGGATAGTGAGTGGGGCAACAGGATCAGAATAGACCCTCTCTAATTTTTTCGGACTGTAAAAGAAACTGGTTTGGATGCTGGTGGGAAGAATTGCATTTTTAGACTTGCAGTTGATGTTTACTAGGCAAACCACATAAGAAACACAACCAGATGAGCTAATTCTATTTTATTGTAAAGCTATATTAATAGACACTTGCAAGACTAAAAAAATTATCCACAGTCTTCTTTATATCATCAGTTTACAACTACTGCGCACACTTACATCCATATTCTTGCACTCAACAACAAAGCACACCTGAATGTGAGTAAATGGGATTGCTGCACAAGAGAATTTTATCTAAATGAGTCGGCAGAAACCAGTGATCTTTGTAGCTCTCTCCCGTTTCTCTCTCTCCTGTTTCTCTCTCTCCCGTTTCTCTCTCTCTCTCTCTCTCCCCTCCCTCCCTCTCATACACACACACGCACACACACATATTCACACTCAATTAGTGGTCATGTCACTTGACAAAACATTTCACTAGAATGTATTGCAATTTTCTATTGCTTCAAATTACTTTTTCTGTAAGCTTCCTCCAAATTGAACCTTTAAAATTAATTATATTCTTTAGCTTCTACAGAACATTTGCAGAAGTTATTTACTTTTAATTTTAAGGATTTCATTTTATCAAACAGTTGCACAGTACAATTCAATATTCCATAATGAGAAAAAAGGACAAGAAAAACCAATTTCAACAGACAATTCTGCTTATCTGTAAAAAGTAACTCTCAATTATTCTTTATCAAGAAAACGATCAAGAAAAATGTCTCACTATAAAGTCTTATTTGTGATAATAAACTTTGGATTAAAACTCCACTTAATTCTATAGAAAGGGTGAAAAAACAAATTTCTTGTTTCCTTATGTGTCATTGTAAAGAAGGATCCATTGAATTCATTGGCCATTTGGTGCCATAGTGCAACTTCTATAAGGAGGCAAGGACCTCTTCCATATTTCTCCAACTATCCTGATTCATTTTATATAAAGCTACTTCTGTCAGACTAGTATGATTCTCTTTGCTTTGATGTGGCAAAATTTTGTTATATTGTTTGTAAAACTTGACACATCTTGATTGCTTCAATTATTTAATTACAATGTTATGTTTTTGTTTTATTTTACTTGAAATAGAAAGTGTTTAATATTTTGTTAACATTTCAGAATTCTGGGGAAGGAAGGAAGGAAGGAAGGAAGGAAGGAAGGAAGGAAGGAAGGA